TAGTAATCACACTTACAGATGTGAAGCACATTGTTGGTCCTACAATGCATCACTGATCTGAAACAAACCACAGTATTTGATTTTTTCGATATGTGGATTAAGATAGGAATAATAAACTTGTGTTCAAGTCAACTCAAGGATGGTGGCAAAATATCTTCAACATGGTTTATTATTGTTGAGGGGTTCTCCCCTTTTTTTACACAAATGGACTCACCCAGTATATACATATACTACTGCTACGTGAAAACCCGAGACAGTAAGACGGGAGCAACAGAGGGTGAAAGTAAGAGACAGACAAGCAGACAGACAGACAGACAGAACGAACGTAGCTAGCAAGAGTCACCGTGAGCGAGCACGTAGAATCAGTAAGAAGTCATACAGCGATACTTCAATACCAAAGACTGTATAGATATTTTGCTACTAACCCGTATTCCTGGAACTACTAACCTGCATTACTAGTTTACGTCAATACATTATTTTCCTATATTCATTCCTGGCGTTGTTATTTATTGGTACCGGATTTCATCCCGGAATCCACAACAACTTGGCGACGATGATATCGAACTAACACGAGAAGAAAAAAAAATCTCTCTCATCGACCACAACAACTTGGCGACGAGGATATCAAACTCACACGGGAAGAACAAAAAATACAAAATTCTCCCTCGTCAACTTGGCGACGAGGAAATTCGAACTCACACAGGAAGAGAACAAAGAAAAATTCTCGCTTGCCGACCATAACTTGGTGACGAGGAATTGGGACCTACACGGAAAGAAAAAATTTCTCTCTTCTCACCACAACAGCTTGGGCGACAAGAATTTCCACTTCTCGGAGACTCAAAAGAGAAAATTGCCGTTTTTGCCAGTATCCACAACAACTGCGTAACAAAGAGTTACGAGGATTAAAATACGGAAAATCGAGTTTTCTTAAGACTCTTATCATGGAAGATTTTAAAAGTATTTTAGTAGAACTTGTAAAATACCCAAATGAACAGCAAATACAACTTCAAGAAGGACAAAATGAGCAGCAATTACAATTCCAAGAAAGAATGGAAAAATATTACTACAAACGCAGAAAGAAAATCATGAAAGACAAATACAACTCCAGGAGCTAATTGTAAAAGTAGCGAGTAATACACAACAACAAAAGATTGAAAAAGAGGCGACTTTTTCCCAAGACGTAGTATGGAACATGATAGAAACATTCAAATACTCCCTAGAAGAGGATAAAAATTTCGGGGACTTTTTCAGACGTCATGAAGACATCTTCAACATTGATTGTCAAAACTGGATGGAAGCAAAGAAGTTACGACTATTACTCATGAAATTAGGAACGGATGAATACACAAAATTTGTGGATTACATTTTGCCAAAGAAGACAAATGATTTAACGTTTGATGAAGCAGTTACATGCCTGACAGAGCTTTTCAGTCCGAAAACGTCACTTTTTCACGTAAAGGATGAACATGAGGACTTCAAGTTGGCAGAATTAACCCCGGACAATTTCAAGTGTCTTATTTTTGTACAAGGGTTAGTCTCAGCAAAGGATAGCGAAATGCGAAAAAGAATGCTTTCAAAACTGCAAAATGAACCTGGATTAAGACTGACAAAAATGTCTGCGTATAAAGAAAGACTCGAAGGTTATTGAGGAGTCAGGAGTATCACATATACGTAAGTTAAACAAAAGTTTACGTTTTCCACCCTCTCCGGAAACAAAACAAAAGTTCTATAATAATGAAAAAAGTACAACGTATAGGGCAAATAATTACGAAAATCAAAGCAAATATAAGCCCTCCACCATCTGTGGAGGACTACACTGGAATAAGGATTGTCGTTTTAAATATAAAAACTGTCTTGTGTGTGGAAAAATGGGTCACAAGGCATCCCAATGTAGGAACAGAAAATCTGCTAGTACGATAAGAGCTACTAGGATGCATGACGAAGAGCACGCATCGCACATAAAGAAAGTTTTTAAAAGACTTCAAGATTTTGGGTTTAAAGTAAAAGAAAAAAAATGTAATTTTTTCCTAAATGGAATGAAATACTTAGGCCATATAATTAATGAAAGTGCTAGGAAACCAGACCCAGAGAGGACATCTGCAATTAAAAATATGCCTGAGCCAAAAAATGTCGCAGAATGGCAAAGTTTCCTGGGTCTAGCAAACTATCAGGTCATCCCATAAGTTCTGTCCGAATTTTGAACCCGATACTACGGTGAATTCATCGAAAATATGCATAAATTGAGCCCCGCCCCCACTAAATGAGTTACTGAAAAAAGAGAGCAAATGGAATTGGATGGAAGACTGTCAGAAAGCGTTTAAGGAAATAATACAAAAACTTCGGAGCTAGCACTGACACATTTCGACCCCAAACTAGAAAATATTATTGCTAGCGACACGATGCAGGGTGGCACAAAGAAGCCTATAGCGCACGTATCGAGATCATTATTACCAGCAGAGAGGAATTATTCACAAATTGAAAAGGAAGCGTTAGGCATAATATTGGCCATAACTAGCTTTCACAGATATATTT